TGTTGCCCGATGATCCAGGATGTTCCTCGATGTTCCTCCCCCAGAAGGCAGAAACAAACGAACAAAAAAACATGAAAAGCAACGACAACAACGACAACAACAACAACAACAACAACAACAACAACAACAACAACAGCAGCAACACCGACGACAACAACGACATCAACAACGACAACAACAGCAACAGCAACAGCAACAGCAATAACAGCAACAGCAACAACAACAGCAATAACAACGACAACAACAACGACGACGACAATAATGACAACAGCACCAACAACGACAACAACAACAACGACAACGACAACGACAACGACAACAACAACAACAACAACAACAACAACAACAACAACAACAACAACAACAACAACAACAACAACAACAACAACAACAACAACAACAACAACAACAACATCAATAACGACAACAACCACAACAACAACGACGACGACGACAACGACAACAACAAACAACCAAAACGTCCGAGCGATGCCAAGGTGCCACGAGCGCCGCGGAGGAGGCGCGTCGGGCGGCGGCGGCCGCCCGCGTCCGCGGGCCGCGGCGAGGGGGGCGACGAGCGCCGAGCCCCCCGGGGGGGCCTCGGGCGGGCGCCGCCGGCTGGCCCCGAGGGCTGCGGGCGGCTGCGCACCGAGGGCTGCGGGCGGCAGCTCACGAGGAGCCTCCCGTGCCTCTGGAGGCCTCCTACAAGGAGCAGCTCACGAGGAGCTGCTCACGAGGAGAAGCTCACGAGGAACCTCCCGTGCCTCACGAGGAGCAGCTCACGAGGAGGCCTCCGTGCGAAAAGCAACCGGTGTTTGGTGAGCCCCCCGGCCCCCCATTTCAATGTCGGTCGCGCGACCAGCGAAGTTCGAACAGAAAATCGGCACCGCGTTGAACATTGAAATTGAGGGGGTTGGGGGGGAAGTTCGTAGAAAAACACCAATTGCTTTTTGCACGGGGGGGTAGACGGGGCCGGAAAATGTCAAAGTGTCGAAAGAGTGTCGAAACAGTGTCGGACGAGTGTCTCCCAGGGCCCGACACGTGAAAACCCTCGCGCTTCGGTACTTCTTTTGTGGTGCTTGAGATTCTCTCTGGTGATCAAGGCTAAAGTAGGTTAGAACATCAGAAGGCTCTAGGCCTCGTAGATGGTGTCCAAGTAGATGGGGTCGGAGGATCGCGTCGCATCGCCGATGCATCGGCGATGTATCGGCGAGGCATCGGCGATGCACCAGCGATGCGTCGTCGACGTCGGCGATGCACCGGCGACGTCGGCGCGGAGAAAATCGGGCTCCACATCGAGCCGCATCGCCGATGCATCGGCGATGCGACGCGTTCCCACGACCCCATCTACGCGGACCCCATCTAGGCCTAGAGCCTTCTGATGTTCCAACCTAGTTTAGCCTTGACCACCAAAAATAATCTCAAGCACCACAAAAGAAGTACCGAGACTCGAGGGTTTTCGCGTGTCGGGCCCTGAGAGACACTCGTCCGACACTGTTTCGACACTTTTCCGACACTGCGACATCTTCCGGCCATCTCGCCGGCTCCTGCGAACCGACGCCAGTGGACGCCGAATCGACGCCCAACCGACGCGAAGATCGACGCCAGGGAACCGACGCCAAGCCGGCGCCGTCTCTCGGCCACTCCCGGACGCTGGATCGACGCGAAGCGACGCTCCAGACAGGCAACCGACGCCAAGTCGGCGCCGTCTCGTCCGCTCCCAGGCGGTGGATCGACGCGAAGCGACGCTCCAGACGGGATTGCGAGGGCAGGCCAGGCTCCCATGCCTTGCTGCCGAAAGAAGCCGCTGGGGGCGGGGCCTGGCGGAGGCCTCGGTGGCCGGGCCCGGGAGCCTCACGCGGCCGCACGGGCGCCCCGTCGACGAGGGCTGCCCAGAAGCCCCCTCGAGCCATGAGAAAAGCACGGCAGGAAATCTCGCACTGTCTGCGGCCCCCGCGGGGGCCCCTACCGGTCCGCGGGGCCGTCCAAAGACGCCTCGGGAGGAAGAGCCGGTCCCGGGAACGGGTCGAGACCCCTGGGGGCGACGTCACGAGAAAATCATGATGCCAGGAGTCTGGGTAGTGTTATGGATGCCATGACAGTGAACACTCCAACAATCCGATCATTGAGTTAATGATGTGTTTAAAATGTGCTGAAAATGTTCTAAAAATGTTTCAATCATGCTTTTAACACATTTCCCTACCTAGGCTCTGCCTAGATTATTCTCTATCTTAAAGGGGCCAGGCAGTGGGGCCCGCCCAGGGCGGTTCCCCCGGTATCCGCCCCGCGGTTCCCTCAGTTACGTCCCCTTAGTTTAGCGTTGCTTATCTCATCTTAGCTTAGCTTATTTCATATTCGCTTAGATTAGCTTCATATTAGCTCAGGTTTGTCTTAGCTTAGCTTACCTTCATCTTAGCTTCGCTGAGCTTCAGCATAGCAGAACACAGCATAGCATAACATAGCATAGCGTACCATAGCGCAGCACAGCATATCATAGCAT